TGTCAATACCAGTATGGACCAGTATGGACCAGTATGGACCAGTATGGGTCAATACCAGTATGGACCAGTATGGACCAGTATGGACCAGTATATGCCAATACCAGTATGGACCAGTATGGACCAGTAAGGACCAATACCAGTATGGACCAGTATAGCTCAATACCAGTTCAGACCAATATGGACCAGTGTGGATCAGTATAGGTCAATACCAGTGCAGACCAGAATGGACCAGTATGGACCAGTATGGACCATTATGGACCAGTAGGGACCAGTATGGACCTGAATGGACCAGTGGGGACCAGTAGAGGTCAATACCAGTGCAGACCAGTATGGACCAGTATAGATCAGTGGAAACCAATCCCAGTATGGACCAGTAGGGACCAGTATGGATGGATATACACCAGTATGGACCAGTATGGTTCCATAAGGGAACAGCAGAGATCAGTATAGGCCAATCCCAGTAGGGACCAGTAAGGACCAGTATGGACCAGTATGGGCCTGAATGGTTCAGTATGGACCAGTAGGGACCTGAATGGACCAGAATGGACCAGTATGGACCTGAATGGACCAGTAGGGACCAGTACAGACCTGAATGGACCAGTACGAACCAGTATGGACCAGTATGGACCAGTATAGACCTGTATGGACCAGTACAGACCAGTAGGGACCAGTAGGGACCAGTATGGACCAGTAGGGACCTGAATGGACCAGTATTGACCAGTATAGACCTGTATGGACCAGTAGGGACCAATATGGACCTGAATGGACCTGAATGGACCAGTATGGACCAGTACAAACCAATACCAGTACGCCCAGTCCCCCCCAGTCCCTCCCAGTGCCCCCAGTTCAGCTCCCAGTACCTTCCAGCCGCAGCCGCCCCACGTCGGCCCCAAAGCGCTGCGCCATCACGGCTCTGTGCCGCCCTGCGGGGGACAGCAGCACCACGGGGCCCCAAACGTCCCCAGATGTCCCCACATCCCCACAGATGTCCCCATGTCCCCAATGTCCTCGTTGTCCCTTTGTCCCCACATCCCCACGTTCCCCCCATTGTCCCCACAGCCTCCAATGTCCCCAAATCCCCCAATGTCCCGAGTGTCTTTAATGTCTCCAATGTCCCCATATCCCCATAATGTCCCCAATGCCCCCACTGCCCCCAATGTCCCCATATCCCCTAGCGTCCCCAATGTCCTCATTGTTCCCAATGTTCCCAATACCCCCAAATGTCCCCAATGTCCCCATTGCTCCCAGTGTCTCCAATGTCCCCAGTGTCCCCATTGCCCCCAATGTCCCCATATCCCCCAGCATCCCCAATATCCCCATTACACCTGATGTCCCCAATACCCCCAAATGTCCCCAATGTCCTCCTTGTTCCCAGTGTCTCCATAATGTCCCAATGCCCCCATTGCCCCCAATGTCCCCAAAATCCCCAGTGTCCCCAATGTCCTCATTGTTCCCAGTATCTCCAATGTCCCCATAATGTCTCCAATGTCTCCAATGCCCCCATTGCCCCCAATGTCCCCATATCCCCCAGTGTCCCCAATGTCCTCACTGTTCCCAGTATCTCCAATGTCCCCAAAATGTCCCGAATGCCCCCACTGCCCTCAATGTCCCAATGTCCCCATATCCCCTCAGTGTCCCCAATATCCCCATTACACCCAATGTCCCCAATACCCCCAGTGTCCCCAATGTCCTCATTGTTCCCAGCATCTCCAATGCCCCCAATGCCCCCACTGCCCCCAGTGTCCCCATATCCCCAATGTCCCCAATAGCACCAGCATCCCCAATGTCCCCGTTACACCCGAAGTCCCCAATACCCCCAAATGTCCCCAATGCCCTCAATGTCTCCAATGTCCCCAATGTCCCCATTGCCCCCAGTGTCCCCATATCCCCTAGCGTCCCCAATGTCCCCATTACACTCGATGTCCCCAATACCCCCAAATGTCCCCAATGTCCTCAATGTCCCCAATGTCCCCATTGTCCTCTTTGTCCCCAGTGTCCCCATGCCCTCCCTGCTCCCCCCCCCCCCCCCC